ATGCCGAGGTTCTGGTTCAGTGCATCAGGGATGGGTAATAAATGTCGCTACTTGTTAAAGTACTCCACAGGTGATTCTGATATGCAGTCAGGGCGGAGAATCTCTGATCTAAAGCTACATTCTTCCACATTAATGAGATAGCAGCTTTCACTGCTCTTACTTCGTTGCTGCCTTATCCTTTCCAACCCTGAATCAACCCAACCACCTCCCCTCTCTGCTCTTAAATTTGGACGGCTGAAATAAATCAACATCTCCATAGTTTGCATTACTAATTCACGAATTCCAGCTTTAGCTAAGCCCTTAGCACTCATGGAAACTTTATTGTTCCCATGTTAGCTCTTTCTCCCCCATTTACCCCAGTGGCTACTTCAAATCTCCCCCTTTCCCCTATCTCTCCCTCTTGTCCACAACTCCTTAACATCTCGTTCTCTGCAGGTGACCTCACTTCTAATTTCACCAAGGAAATTGAATGTATCAGGAAGGAAATCCCAACCTAGCTCATGTCCTCATCCCCTACCTCTACTTATCTATCACATAATTGAATCTTGTCTGTCTCCTTCTGACATGTTCTCTGAATTCCATCCAACCACACCTTTTTAGGAGGCTTAATCCATCAACTACATTTCCCCTTTCTCTCCTGTCTTTTAAATCTCCCTCTCCATAGGTTCTTTCCTATTATCATTTGAACATGCTCAGGTCTCTCCCATCTTTAAATTCAAAAGACGTAAAACAAAACAAAAACACCTTCCCAACTCCACATTACCTATCTTCTCACACTTCTCATTCTCTTCACTGCCAAGCTTCTTGAAAGAGTATCAACAATTGCTGTAAATACAGTATAGTGTCTACCAACACTGCTCTCATCAAGGGTACCAATAGCCTTTCTGTTGCAAAATCCTAAGTATATTTCCAATATTTACCCTACCTGGCATCTCTTCCATTATGTGACTGAGATGACGCCTACTTATGTAAACCACTTTCTTCCTTTTGCTTCTGTGACCACATTCTATTGGTTTTCTTCTACCCTTTCTGGTTGTTACTTCTCATTTTCTTGGGTTTTCTCTTCCTCTATCCATTCTAGAGTTTGATCTTTTGCCCTCTTCTTTTCTTAATCTACATAAACTCCTTAGTCATCTTATCAGTTCCTATGGCTTCTATTATCCACATTACCTCTAGACTACACCTCTTGGCAAAGTTCCCAACCAATATATCAACTACTACTCCTTCTACATCCCCTGCAGACCAAAACCTGTTCCTATCCATTTTCCCTTAGTGAATTGAAACAAATCAGAAACTTCGAAGTTATCTTTCTCATGTCCCTTATCCACCCCACTGCACTCATGAAACCAAGGACCAAGCAATACCATTCTAGATCCTTTAATATCTCAAAACAGTCCTCTTCATGCCAACACATCAGTTACCATTTTGGTTCGAGCCACCCGATGTGTCAAAATTTAAGTGCTGAAACAATTTCCTAGAAGCAGGTCTTCCTGCTTCTAACAGTCTTCCTTTTGAACCAGAGTCTCTCAACCTTTACACTACTAACATTTTGGGCTGGATATTTCTTTGTTGTGCATTGTAAGATATTTAGCATCTTTGGCTCTACCCAGTAGAAGCCAGTGGTATCTCCCCATCTTACTACATAAAAAAAAGTCTCCAGTCATTGCCAAATATCCTCTGGTGGGTAAAATCACTTCTAATTGGGAACTGCTTTAAACCCCTTCTCTACAATATACACAGATGAATTATTTTTCCAAAATGAAAATTTGATACCTCGTTCTCTTGCTTAAAGTCCTACGATGGCTTTCCAATGTCCCAGGAAAAAACTCCAAATCCCTTAGTCTGGCTTGTTGGGCCTTGCACAGCCTGGCCCCTGCTAACTCTCTATCTCCATCTGGATCAGTCCAACATAAGTAAGATTACTGAAGAAAATCACATGACTACCCTAGTGGTTCCTCTACAAACTCTTGCAAGCTCTATCTCTCGAGTATCTTTCTAGGCTCTTCTCTATAACCATTCATCCTATTTTCTGCTCTATTTAAAGTTTTCTCTTAATGCTTTATGAGTATAATCAAACTTTGGCCCATGCTGTTCCCGATGCCTGGGATGCCCTCCCCTCTCCTACCTACATCTAGCTTAAATAACACTTGCTTTATTTAGGAAATGCTTCTCCCTGCTCCACAGCACATATCTAGTTTTGGCAGCAAGGGTGAATAGATACCCTCTCTATGTGCTCCATGATGCCCTCCCTGTGCTCTTCCTTACCTTTGGTGGTTCAATGGCCTCACTCCTAAGCTATGGTCCTGTATACTGTTATATCCCAAGTATCTAGAATAGTGCCTGTCACAAAGGAGGTGCTAGAACGTATTGTTGAAAGAAGGGAAGAAGTAAGAAGGGCCTGGATAACATGCAAACTGATGCCTGATGGACTCACATGGGCCTCACCGCCTATATAGTGAGTCATAGGTTATATGACAATGAGATTGACTTGGTTATTTTAGCTCTTCAGGGAGATGTCAGAATGACAGGCTGTCTTTATAATGAGACTTAGCATTTTTTATTGTCATAGCAGGTGGCAGGTTCACTTACTATCATAGATTTCTATACACCAATATACATAAAATCATGAAGGGCATCGACAGAGAACAACTGTTTTCAGTGAAATTCTTAACAAAAAATGTTTTGAGGATCCACTGGTAAATTTTACCCCTAGGATTTAACTGAGGACTCAAATTATGAAGGAGACTAATATAAACTCTACTCCATTAAAAATAATGACGTTTTCATCAGACTATTTGAGAAAAACTTACTTTATTCCTGAGAGAATAAAATAAAAAGGAGAGGCTTCCATCTTCCTCTAAAAAAAGAATCACCTAAATAAGAACTGAATAAAACTATCTCAACTCAGTTAAACTCGGCTTTGTCCAAAGACTCAAGACTATAAAGAATGCAATCCCAAAACCCTTTACTTTATAATATAAAGTATTATGAGAATAAAACCTACAATTTACTCAGGCCATATTAATTGACTTACCAGAAGCATTAAAGAATTCCATGTATCACTAACAAACAAAAGTCAGCCTGATTTTCAAATATATGAGAATGAAATGAGTTAAAGTTTCGGACTTGCTTTAAAATACCTCAGCAACAACAATAATAGCAAAAAAGGAGGTAAGATATATGCAGTAAATCTTGATAAATGTGAAATCAGGATGATGACTATGTGGGGGTTCATTATAGTAAACTCTATTATTTGAAATTTTCCTGAATAAATATTTGTGGTCTGCTTATATCAAAAATATTAGAAACTAGACCTCATACACAAATTTAATAAAAGATTATTCAGAAAACCACTTATTTTAGGTAATAGTTGTTAAAATAGATTAATTTGGACAATACCTTTAAGTTTTCTGTAATGGGCTTTATTTTTAGGTTAAGCACACACTGAGCAATCCAATGGCTCATTTCCAACCTAAAGTGAGTAGTGAATTGAGGTTTTAAATCTACAACATAAATTATGGACGAAACAGGAAATTTGCAGGTATGTTTTACTATGTGCTTTACTAAACAAGCAAATGATTACAGGCAAGATAGTGTAATTGTTTAAAAATAAATTCAACATTATTTCCAGAGAGTTCTAATTCAACACAAAAGTCTGAGGCAACAAACTCATATCCACAAACTTTAAACAGCTTCCCAGATTCCTTTGCAATGCTAATTAAGACAATATGCGCAGCTCCAAACCTGGAAAGGAGTGAGAGCTTCTAGGAGTACCAGGAGACTTTGACCACTAACATCACAGTACAGTGTTGTAAGCAATGCCTGGCATTTACTTACAGAGCAGTTCTCTTCACTCCCTGAGAAGGCTGAAGTAGACAGCTGAGAGAACAGGTCAAAACAGCAAGAGAAAAACACAGCACCAGTGAAAATTAATACCATTAAACATTTGTGCTTCACTATCTCTAAGACTACAAAAGTCTTAGAGGCCAAGGAGAGGGTTCAGATTAGAAACTGTCTCACCTGCAAAAGAACTCCCACAAGTCTAGGTTTTGAATTCTCTGAATTCTTTTAATTCTGTTGCGATCCATTGTTTTCCCAAAGAGACTAGCGACTTCATTATATTCATGTGTTTGACTGTGCAAAGGAATAAGCTGGAAAAGAAGTTTGATAGTTTTATTGGAGTCTCTTTTTCATCTCTTCCACAGTATAGTCAGTTCTGCTCTTACCTGATAAGGTACTTCAGTATTCACATTCTCCCAGTGTGGTGGCATGGGGATAGCCTCATTTTCACAGATGTAACTTTAAATAGCAAAAGACAAAACAAAATATTAGAAGCTGGTTATAATTACTATCAGTAATTCAGACTTATCTTTGAAGCCGAATTTTCATGCTTGGGGTACTGCGACAAATGCAGTTAAGTATGACCCTTGATTTCTTTATTTTATAATATTTACTGAATGTCTACTTGTGTACTACATTTTAGGTGCTGAATTGAGAATTTTGATGGAAAACATTCAATCCTACATAACATGAAAATTTCAAAAACAGTTGTTTAATCTGTCTTGTTTTTCTGAATTTTCCAAAATTTCTTTAAAGTAAGTAAGGTTTTAGGTAAATAAATTTCCAGGGGAAAATAAAATCCTTGATTTAAAACTGTAACAAAGTTATTCTGCCCATTAAATAAAATCCAACCCCTCCACCATATGTTCAATGTCCTTCAAGATCTAACTCAAACCTAAACCTTTCTGTTTATTGCCCACTATTCCCCTACACGGTTCACATGAACTCAGTAGAGCCAGTCAATAAAACTTTTAGAAAACTATCTACCATATGGAAGCCAGAACACAGAAAAAAAATAGTGATCTTGGGGAGCTCGATGGCAAAAGGCTGAAACTGGCATACTAATCCTTTCTGGTGACTGGAAGTTATCGGAAGAAATTCATACATTTCAAGCCTATCTTTAGCTTAATTTTTACAAACTCATTTCAACTTTGAAATGATCATAGAATCATATAATTTAAAAATGAGTTAAGCATAAAAAAGTAAACAATTAATAGTTTCCCGCACTCCAGTCCTTGGTCTGTCCAATTCTTACCTCCTGCCTCAACTACAAGTAACCGTTCTTTTCAGTCTTGGGTATTCTTCCAGACTTCTTTAGGTTAACAGAAGCCATTTTTCCCACCACACAAATGGTAGCATAAAACATATGTCTTTTGCAGCTTTTTTTTTTCACTTACGATATTCTTAGAGGTCTTTCCATATCAGTAGATAGAAGGTACCGTCATTCCCAGTCCCTACCAGAGCCTGGCACATGGTAGACACTCCATAAATATTGGCTGAATGAATGAATACATTCTATTCTACAGATGCACAGAATTCCATGTATGGATACACCATAATTTATTTAACAAGTCCCCTATTGATAATATTCAGCTTTTTCAACTTTTTGCTACCATTAAGAATGCTGCTAAGAACTAGCTTGTCCACTTGTCACTGTACATGCCCATTAGTCAATCTGTAGCATGATATCTTTGAAATGAAACTTCTATGTCAAAGAATATGTTTATTCATGATTTTGACAGATACCACTCAAACCTCCTTAAAGGCTGTATTGACATTCCCATCAGAAATGGAGAGAATGCCTATTTTCCAATCTCTCCAAAAAGGTGTATAATCAGACTTTTGAATTTTTATCAATCTAATAGTAAAAAATAGTCTGATTTAATTTGTATTTCTCTTATTATGAGTGAGATTGTATGAACTATTCAAATTCTTTGCTCATTTTTCTAATGGGTTGTTGGTCTTCTACTTAGAAATTCACACAAGTACTTCATATAACCACAGAGATGAACGCTTTGACTGTGATAATGAGGAACAATAGTTTACCCAATTTTTTAAAAATTTTGCCTGAAGTATCTTTTAGCTATGGAAAAGTCTGTTTTTTTCTTAAAATTTTTGTAGCCCACAGACTTGGTTAACTGTAAATTCCTTGCCAATGGGAAATATGTACTATGTACCTTGCGTGTAATTAATGTTCAATGTTCTTACAATATCCTACCTAACTGTTCTTCCTCTTTTACTATCTTTTCTTACTACCCTCCATTCTGGTTAATTCTCTCCCTCTCCTGTTTTCGTTCTATGGTTCATATAGTCTGTGAGAGAACAAAGTGCTTGACCCCTTCATGTGCTGCTTCTCCCCACTGAAGTATACCAGATACAATAATATGCAGTAATAATAACATTTTCCATTATTATGTCTCATTTTCCCCCCACATTGCACACTCTCTTAAGATTAATAATTCCTTTATTATATTCCTTGCACTCAAGAATGAGGATATGATGTGTATGGTAAGTAAATAATATTCTCTACATTCCATAGAAGTACTAGAACATTCATTATATAAGTACTTGAATAACTTTAAAATCATGATGCTAAAATACAAGTCACTTGAAACATACATAATTTTATTAACCAATGTCGCCCCAATAAGTTTAATTTAAAAATAAGTAAAAATAAAATAAAATATAAGCCAAAAGCCTCACAGAACAAATGACAGAAACTTAAAAATTTTATTTCTTTACTCTGTTTCAAAATATCTCCTTGGAAGGAGCAAATGGGTATCCCTTACAATTCACATGCTAGTGTTTTTTTATTTGTTTCATTTTAAATTCTTTGAAAAGCAAGAATTTCAACATTTGCTTGAAGAATCATTCCAGAAAATAGGAGAGACATGCTTAAGTTTTCCCTTCAATTCTATTCATGGCATTTATACTTCTCTTTTTAGGAAATATAAAGTGAGAGACAGAAAAAGGAAAACTTGCAATCCTGATCCAGGGAAGAGGTAGCTGTGCTGTTGTCTCCTCTTATTCCCACCTTCCTTAGGTCTCTGTTAGTCACTACAGACTTAAAATTACTTCTAAGAGTTGCCCAGTGCAGATCAGTAGAGATGGAAACAAAGTTGGAAATTACTTATGATTTATGACTCAAATGACTGGATGGTTCTGTGAGAGTATTTCCAAGTTAATTCAAACTTACTTCGGTAGGTTATTTTAAGGATATATAGCAGAGACCATAAGGCATTTTTAACTACCATGCAAATTGTTCTAAAGAATTGAAAAATATAAATATATAAAGGGAAATTAAAAAGATAACAGGAAAGGAAACATGGGCAGAAAATAATATTGCTATTTCATCAACTAATGTAAAATACAGTAATGAAAGGATCGATAAGATCATTAAATAACCTACCAAAATATTTTCAGTCTATTTGTTCCTCTGTCAAATATTAAGAAAGAAAAGAGAGAGAAAAAGCTCACTCCTTCTACTCCCATTCTCTTACGGTACCTGAAAGCACTGATAGAAAAAGGGGCTCTTTTTATTAAGCGCTCTTTTCCAGTGGTGAGATTCATTTGCTTCATTTCTGTATACAAAGACAAAGATATTAGGTAAGTCATAGAAATATATTGTGCTATAAACTGTCATGAAGATTTGTAGCCACCCTACACTATGATCAGGAATCATGGAGCTTTGGGAGTACATGACAAATGTAGTATATTAAAGATACTTTACCATTTACCTATTGATGATGTCATAAAAGTGCTATTTAGGGAGCAAAGCTTCATTACTTGATCGAAGCTCACACCTAAGAATGCTCATTTTATACACTGCTTAGTAAGAAGGGTCAATTTCTTTCTATATAATACTTAGGTTAAACTGACATTAAACTAGAAGAGTTCTAAACTTAGGAATATTAAGAGTACTGGAAAGAGAAATTATAGTGCTGAATCTTCTGGTTGGCTTAGTAAGTAGAAAATATATTTTGGTTTCTCCCCAAATTTTAGAAATTACTTAAAAAACCCCACCACATTACCATTATAAAACTTGCACAATTCACAGAATTTCAAAAATTTGTACAATTCTTGCCTTCTCTTTAAATTGTATACCTAAACCAAAAAATGGAAAACCTAGCTAGACTCAATTCATACATACTTTATATAAGAGATTCTAGTGATAAAGGACTAATTAACAAAAGGTATCATTCCCTTCTTTCATCTATGCCTCAGTGGTGGCAATATTTACCAGGCCCATTTCTCCATTCCCACAAAATTAAGTACTAAGTTTTAATGTGAGATTCTAGTCAGTTTATCTTATCTAACTGGCATCATTCCATTCCAAAATAAAGGGATTTATCCATTCGGGCAAATGCTGTATAAAGTATGTTGTATATTCTGCCCTTTTCTGTGTTCTCCTAGACTCTGCACATAATGGCATTACCACTGTGCAGGGATAAAGAGAGGTCATCTCATTATATGGAGTGAAACCTGTGGTGTCTTCTTATATCACAGCATTTTGAGTTTACTTTTCACCATTCTTATAGAGTATAGAGAGAACCTGAGCTCTCTATAAAATGCTTGTGGTAGAATGGTTGGGGTTAATTTTCCAAATGTACATATGAAATGCTAAGTAATATATATATCTTCGAAACAGCATTATTATATAGAGAGTTGGAGAACTTGAGTTATTATATATGACTCCTATTCTTTGATTAAAAAAAATTTTAATAAACTGCATTGTTGGAGAGAAAGCTTCCAAAAATTACAATTTACTAGAAAATATTCTTTCAGAAACATGTTGCTTGCTGAATTATCTACCAAATGCTTTAATAAACTTAATCCTCTATATGAGACTGATGTCTGTGCATATAATTGTTTCAGTATTGCTTCAAAACTGGCACTTGTACATAAGTCTAAAATGTCTTCCAGTTACCTTCTGTCTAGACTGTAGCAGAAAGACAAATGTCAGGGCCCCCTTAAGAGCAGGCAGCCTATTTGCCTAATGTCATTAAAAAAAAAAAAGTTATGGTTAGTCAATAATAAGAATCTAACAGTTTTAATTCTTGATTAAAAAAAAAAACTTTGAGGGGATAATAATCTTAGAGATTTTGTTGCATCAACCTCTCACTAGACAAATCACCTTCACCACCTTTCTGGGCCTTGGCTCGTCCAGGAAATTTCCTAAGGTTTCACCACCCTATCCTACCACAACATACTACTAACTCTGTCATAAAGTCACCACTCACAGAAAGTGGGAAAGAACTGCTAGAGGACAGAGCTGTGTAGCAACTAAAATATACTTTTATTAAGAAAGCATCTCTATCCAGGTCTTGTTTCCTTCTAAGCAGCAAACAGCTGGGACTATAGCAGCTTGAAAGTGAAGGGGTTGATTCTGACGGTTTTCTTATGGGATACCTAAAAACATGCCCATATGTCATGGATGAAATCCAAAGTGTGGCTGATTTCCAGATTAGCTGGCTAATCTGTGAAAGGGCCAATGAAATCAGAAATGGGCAGAAGGCAATGTCTATTAAAGAAATAATTTTCTGGCAAAGACACCAGGAAACCAAAAGGTGGGCCATTCATCTGAACTTTGTTCTTCGAACTCACCAACTACCTATGATTTTGTCACTTAACCTCCTGGATTGATCCTTAAAGTAAAAAGGTTCCTATCTATTTCAAAAGATTGATGGGATGATGAATAAAACAATAGCTTAAAAGTGCTTGTGTTCCTTAAAAGAGAAGCATTACATGAACTCAGAATATATGACAATCTTCATATACATCAGTATCTAGAAGCATATAAGTAGTACTCTTTTATAAAAAACAATGTTGCTCAAGAAGATTTTAAATCCTGACTTTTTATAGAGGTATTTTTATGTATTACAAAAATAATTTACTGTTTACAAACGTATCAACTAATCCTGATCTTCAGAACTATAGATTTTACCACACTGATATACAGAAAACACACAACTATTAGGGAAAAAAACATACCTGCAAAGTCTATCTTGTAGCTGAATTTGGAAGTAGTAAAAGAAATGGAGCCACAAGGATTTGTTTTGAAGCTTTTTTCGATATCTTCACTGCTAACTGAACACTGAATGTTGGTATCCGGCTTTAAGACAAACCAGAAAGTTTCATTTATCAGCTGTTCACATGAATGGCTTGGCCACAGAGGTAGTACTGTGGTCATAGAGACAGAGATGGAGGGACAAGGGAAATTAACTAATCTCCTGTTTTAGATCCCAACACACTGGGAGAATCACAGCTAAGCCAGCATGTAAAAAATAGTTCAAGGATTTCCAGCAAAGAATCTTCAACAACTGGTTACAATGCCATTTTCCAAATTATTACAAATTTTACAAATTATTATAATAATTACACATCCTAAGTGGCTCAATTAAACTCCTTTAAGTAGCCTTGTAAGTAAAAAAAAGCTTTTGAGTATGAGTTCAAATCTCATCTTAACCATTAGTTAGCTGTGTGACCCTGGACAAAATATATGAACTTCTGGGTTTCATTTTCTTTGACTATAAGAACGAGTGTTACCATCTGCTTCAGAGTTGTTTTAAAGATAAAGGAGAAGACATATGTACAACACCTAAAATAATACCTGTTGTACAGAAGGAGTTTGATTTGGGCTTGTTCTTTTCCCTTTCTCTTTGTCCACAAAATCAAACTTGGAGTTGCTCAGATGTACTGATACCATGCAACTCTCAGTCACAATTGCCCTCTGTACACACGGTAAACATATACTGTTTCTTCTAAATAAACTATTGTGAAAACCTGGAGAAAAGAAAAGGACTAGAAGGATTTCTAGTTTTTCTTTTAGTTAAATGATCTGATTTCCTAAAGGTTTGATTTCTTTCACGTTCTCATTTTATCCATCAACAAGATCTAAGTGAATCTAAATCCCATCTGCTATATATTCCATGAAAAGTGGTACCTGAAACATGTGCCACTTCCCACATTCTGCCAAGTAAAACCAGCCCCACTGAGTATCTGACGTGTCCATCTCATCCATCTCACTATCAGTTGTTTTGGATAAAAATTCTTCTGCTTTGTGAAACATCTCCTGAAAAGGCAAAAAGATTGGAGGAAGAAATACTTTTCTTAACCAATATACGTTTTACAAATCATTTTTCTTCTTACAAAGCACTACGTTCCAAATGTCTTACCCCCAATGACACTTTAAAAATAGCATTCTATCATGCATATTAGTTCTTAAGATAAACATTTTAAAATGTTGACTATCATTGCTTAACAAGACAAAAAATGATACACTTAGGTAATATACACCAATGCCCATTCAACCATTTAAGTAAGCTGTATCAAAATCTATAAGCACTCCAGACTCTCAGTATAATTCCTGTCTTGCATGTTTGTTCATGTTTTTGGTTAAAAGGATCCATGCTATCAAATTAATTTTGACCAAATACATATTTTGTGTTTTAAACATTCATTATTTCATTTAATGGCATGGAAAGATGTTTATAATATATAGTGTTGAGTACAAAGAAGGTTACAATAAATAGCAATAGTATAATCTAATTTTAATTAAAATACATCTCTATTTACCCACATGAATGTACTCGTATATGTATATACATATGGGCATATACATAAAAAAGTCTGGATAGATATATAAAATTTTTTCATAGATTTTTCTGAGCATTAGGATCATAATAATAACCTTATATGGCTCTTACTATGTGCCAAACACTGCTCTATGTACTATTCAGATAATAACTCATTTAGGTCTCACAATAACCCTATAAAATAGGTACGATTATACCAAATTTATAAATGAGGAAACTGAGGCACAGAGAGAGGTCATATAGTGAGGAAGCCATGATTCAAACCTCTGCAGTCTGGATCCAGGGTCTGTGTACTTAACCACCAGGGTGTACCACCTTATCGTTCATTATCAATGATTTTTATCATCTTAACCATATCAAGTAACTCATGGACGCATCATCTTTGAAACGTTTTAAACATTCTTGGGTGAAAACTATGATGAAGAGGAGGTTATCAGAAAAGGGGCAAAGAGATTTCTTTTTTAATTACTAATTTAATTTATACAACTAATATATGAAAACATGGTCTTTGCAAAAAATCAAAACATTCAAGATAAAGCTAAAGAGCTTTTTGACCATCACTTTCATTCCTGGTATGTTCTCACCTTCCTTCTCCTGGGTTAACCATTGAAAATTTGACTTACTGTACAGTTGATTTTTTTTTTTTTTTTGGTACAAAGAATATATACTACTTGGGTCATTTAGAAAATATTTACTTTTAATTTCATTATTGAAAATGTCTATCCTGTTTCCAGAAGCTGTGTAATCTTGAATAAGATTCTATTACCTTCCCTAGGCTAGAGTTTCCTCTTCAAAATCGAAGTGTAAAGGCTCCTTCTTCATTGGTTTGCAGTTAGGAGTGAATGAGACAATGCAGTAAAGTACCAAGTACAGCACCTGAGCACAATGAAGGGGGCTTGTTATTTCATGTTCATGTTTTGAAACTCTCTCCAAGGAATGCTTTATGATTATTTTCTGGATTTTTCCTTCATGTTTTAAAGTTGCTTTATGATTATTTTCTGAATTTTTCCTTCATATTTTAAAGTTGACTGGCTAGGAAATAAAAAATAGAACACCGTATGATCAAGAGCTTCAGTTTTAGGACCCATTATTTACTTTACATATGTCAACTAGATACTAAAGTCAATAATTTAAAATTTAAAATCGATTATACAGGTTAACTATTCACAACTCCTGCTTCTTCCTTCTATTGTTGTTTATATCATGTGGCCATTTTGCTATGAGAGAAAAAAAGCAAGAGTGACCTAAATTCAGTTTTTCTTCTGAAAATAACCAGAAAAAATGGAAGGATAAGTTTTAAGGCAATCATTAAGATAAATATTTGGGGTGTCATTCTGGGAAAAGTTGGTCCCCAGCCCCAGCTCCAGGGATTCTACTGCAAGGGAAAGGCATGCATGCTATAAGGACAAAGAGCTCTACATCTTCACCTGAGGGGGTTGACTTTATTTGAAACAGAAAGTAGAGAATCTCATGCCTAAGGGCTTTACAAAAAAAAAAAAAAGATGATGGAAAACAATTAATGAGCAGCCCCAAGCTCTGATATATGCAGAATGGCAGAGAACCCAGAAATTTAACATAGAGAACCAGGGAGAGCCAACAACTCTCCTGCGATTGTAGTCAACTATGAAACATTACGATATGTTATGCCATAAAATAAGTTTCAATACATTGAAAAAGAATGAAACCATACAAAGTATGTTTTCTAACCAAAATGGAATTGCAAATCAATAATAGAAAATTTGAGAAATTCATAAATATGTGAAATTAAACACATTACTAAATAACCAATGGGTTAAAAATTAAATCCCAAGGGAAATTAAAAAGTATGCTGAGGTGAATCAAAATTAAAACACAACATATCAAAACTTATGAGATGCAGCTAAAGCAGTGCTCAGAAGAAAATTTATAGTTATAAATGCCTATATTAAAAAAAAATCTCTAAATCAAAAACTAACAATCTACCTTAAATAACTAGAAAGAGAAGAGCAATTATACTCAAAACAAGCAGAAAGAAAATAAAAAAGGGAAGGGAAAGGAAAAAAAGAAGTAGAGACTAGAAAATAGAGAAAAATCAACAAGACCAAAAGTTGGTTTATTTGAAAAGAAAAACAAAATCGACAAACTTTTAAGAAGACTGACAAGGAAAAAAAAAAGAGAAGACTCAAATTATAACAAGAAATCAAAGAGGAAACATCAATACTGATCTAAAGAAAATAAAAAGGATTATAAGGGAATAATATAAACAACTGTATCCCAAGAATTTAAATAACTTAGATAAAATGAGCAAATTTCCAGATAAACACAAATGATTAAACTGACTCAAGAATAAAGAGAAAATCTGAATAATCCTATAATAAATAACAAGATCAAGTTAGTAGTTTAAAACTTTCCACAAAGAAAAGTCTAGTCCCAGGTAAAAAGCTTCATTGGTAAAAATCTACCAATTATTTAATGAGAAACAAATACCAATGCTTCACAAATTCTTGTAGAAAATGAAAGAAGGAATACTTCTCAACACATGCTTTGAGGCTGACAATATGAATTCTGATTAAAACAAACTAACAAATTTTTTTAAAAAAATACAGAAAAAGACATCACAAGAAGAGAAAACAAGAGGGCAGTGTCCTCTATGAATATAGAAGAAAAAAGTCCTCATCAAAATACTGGCAAACTGAATGCAGAAACATAAAAACTTGTATATACCATAACCAAATGATAATTTTCCTAGAAATGAAAGGTTGGCTTAGCATACAAATCATTAATTAATGTAATATACCACATTAATAAAATTAAAAATACCAATCATTTAAGTACACAAAAAATTTGACAAAATCCAATACCTTTTCATGACAAAAATGGTCAACAAACTAGAACTGAAGGGAACTTTCTCAATTTGATAAAGAACATCTACAAAAACCGCACAGCTAGTATCATTCCTACTGTTGAAAGACTGAATGCTTTACGGAAACAAGATGAAGATGTCTGCCCTCACTACGTTTATTTAACTCTGTACTGGAGGTTCTAGCCAGGGCAACTATCCAAGAAAAAGAAATAAAAAAGCATCCAGGTTGGATAGAAGAGAGTAGGACTCTCTATTTGCAGATGCCATAATTTTGTATAAAATTATTTAAAAAAAAAAAAAAAAGAAAATTCTAAAAAATCTACTAAAGAACTATTATAACTAAAGAGTTCTGCAAGTTTCAAGATAAAAGATGAATATGTGAAACTCGATTATATTCTTATACATTAATAATGAACATTCCAAAAATAAATTAAGAAAACAATTCCATTTACAATAGTGCCTAAGAGAATACAATAGTTAGAAAGCGGGATACCTTCCCTTGTTTTTAGGGCTCGTCTTGGAATATGCAGCAGCTGTCTTTGGTCCCGTGTCGTCGCCCAAACTAAAACAAGGTTGAAGTCAGAAACATGGCAGAGTAAAAGACGTCCCCAGATCTCTCCCCTTGAAAAAAAAAATAAGCTGAACATCTAAAACTCAACAAAAAACATCCAAACTGCACACCAGCAGGTCTGAGTGTGGGATCTGCACATAAGAACTACCACAAGTCAGAACCCTGGGTGTTGGGCGGTGGGTTGGGAGAAACAAAGAAGCTGCCTCTCACAGCCACCAGAGCTACCTGTAGGAAGAGGGGGAGGGGAGAAGGAGCGATGAGTTCCCTGAACAGCCCTGCCTGAGAAAGCTGTGAGCTCCCTGAAGCCGGCGGCAGGGCCCAGTCATCAGGGCAGAAAGCAGAGAAGTGGGATGGCAGAAAAACAACAGTTGATTTTTATCAGCCGCGGTTGCAAAACTGAGGATGAGCCACAGCTCCCAACCCCCAACCCAGAGGGCTCCTCCTCCCATATTTTCTGACCAAACACCACGGAGCCCCAGGGGAATCTGAGCAAACGCTACCAACACTGTCGCTAACAATGACAGGGACTGAGAATGAGGGTAGCAAGCATGATTAAATATCTATAAGAAAATAAAAGGCATTAATAAGGCTTTATATAAAGCAGGGATCCAAGAGGCTTAGATGCCACCTACTGGAAACCAAAAGAAAAACGCCTTCTTTGCAATAGGCTAGAGAGACCTTTAGATAAATCGAAAAATGTAAAATATTTTTCCATTAATGCCCAGGTGCAGAAATAGTCAATTAAACACCATGAACAACTGAGTGACAAGGCATTTCAGAAAGAGAAAAATCTCCAGAAAATAAGCTTACAGACATAGAAATATGTGACTTAAATGACAGAGAATTCAGGTTGGTACTTCTGAAAACCTCAATGAGATCCGAAATGAATCATAGTGACAATTTCAGGAATTGAAAAAACCACTAGATGAGCAGAATGAGTTCTTTAGCAAGGAGATTGAAACCCTCAAAAAGAACCGAATAGAACTTCTGGAGTTAAAGAACACACTGCAAGAGTTGAAAAATGAAATAGCAAGCTTGGGAGATAGAGTCGAACAAATGGAGGAAAGGATCAGTGATATCGAAGACAGAAATCTAGAAATAAATTGGATGAAGAGAGAAACTGAAGAATGAAAAATAATGAAAGAGAAATACAACAACTAGCTGATATCAGCAGGAGAGGAAACATAAGAATAATGGGCATTACCGAAGGCGAGGAAAAGGAGTAGAGACTGGAAAGCATTTTCAGACAAACAGTGGACGAGAATTTCCCAAATCTAAGGAATGAGCTGGAGCTTGGAATTCAAGAAGTCAACAGAACACTCAATTATCGCAATCCAAAAAGGCCTTCACCAAGACACATTGTATTAAAATTATCAAAAATCAACAACAAAGAATTC